CTCTGATCATTCTCTTATATTTATGAATTTAAACTCCATCCAAAATACCAATGGTCCAAACTAAGTGTCTGACTCCATCGTCTGCTTCAAATGCCAGTAAAAGGCACAAACCAAACAGATTAAATAGGCCTGTAGGAAGGGAAAGCACTACATACAATGACTTAACAACTACATACAGGTCTGCTGGAGCAGACACATTAAGCCGGGACATTAAACTCCCCTCACCTGCTTGCGTAGTAAACATCATGGATGGTATACATAGCGATACTACATGTAACGATCTAGGCCTCGTAGAAACTAGCAAAGCGTCTTACAATATGAATCACAGGGCGAACATTTTAACTCGTATCACTAATCCACTTTCTTGTTCTACACCTAGCTGTGCAGATAAAATAGAAGAACTATTTTTTATTATTAAGGGGCTTGAAGATAAGATGTCAAAACTGGGACCACCTAGTGAAATTGTCAGCAGTAGTACCTCACCTAGAATGTTACCACAAACTGCAAACCTGATAAACCACGTTGCAACTGAAGTATATCAGCGTATAGTGTGCGAGAACATAGTTGTGTATAATATACAAGGTCAACAAAGTCAAAGGTACTCTTCCAAACGCATGCTCTATGAATAATGTCTTGTGCAGCTGCCATCGACTAAGAAAGTCTCAGAAAAATAAATCTTGCCCACTTGTGTTGACAGTTGACTCGTCCTCTAATGCTGACATCTTTTACACTAGGTAAACACTACTGAAAAATATGTTACCATACGATTAAGTTAGCTCGTGGCAAAACGCCGATCCAAAGAATGACTTATATGACCGATTCTAAAACCCTGAATTCCAGATCCTCTACAGCGCCTCTGAGCACCCACGCTTCTGTTGGGGCAGAACAAAAGGGTGTGAATCTGTGTACCCAAAGTACATCATATTTGAAAACGAAATTCTGTGAAAATATAAGGTCCAAAAATAGTTCAGTGTACAGCCGTACACTTGGAAAGAAATCGACTGTAGACCTAGACTCCTCTAATAACTATCCCTGTACCCCAGTGACACACTGCAGTACACCACACCCTGTATTCACCAATCCAAGTAGCCTCAACTCCAGGAAGTTGGAGAATGCGGCTATTAGTTCGTTCACAAAGCCAGTGGAGAATAAGAGACAAATGCCGCACAGTAATTCAGATGCTCACAGCTTGATATCACATCTCTCTTCAGAAATAAATATTCATAAAACCGACAGGTAAAAAACCGTAAAACAGAACCCGAACTTCGTAGCTACCTGTTCAACAAAGAGAGCTCTGGAGCCATCATAAATGAAAAGATTGAGACACTTAACTCTAGGCCGTCGAATAGTGGTAACGTAAATCTCAATAATTCGAATCAGTTTAGCTTGCTTGGCAGGCCACCTCCACCTATTACATGCCCACACCCGTCAGGGCCGCCCACCCAGCGATCAACAGTTTTGCTGAAACGACACTACCATTTTTTATTCAGGTTCACGATATGACCACCAATATATTACAAATGCTCACCACTCTCCACAGGTTTCGCCCCCGATATAGATAGGATAGCTGATACAGCAATGCCTAATTACTGACTGAAGCTCACCTTACATGACACAGGTAATTCTCTTCTTCATCAACAACTCGCTATCTCCCTTCCTCCTGACAATCAATCTTCCTTACACTCGAACTTACATGGACACGAAAATATAACTGACCCCCTCTGAACTTCTAGCTTTCCTAGGGCATCTACAGACATAAACATTTCGTTGTCCTTTGAGGATACTACGTTTGAATCTCATAATCACCTACTTCAAGACATGGCCAAAATCTTAAGATATGACTCGGCTAATCCTAACACAGTTCTTAATAATGCCAGGTCAGCTGTAAACAGGGTGGCATGCATTCAATCCCTACTGCTGATTAGCCGACCCACAGCACTAATGATCACTGAAGCTTGGTGCACAAGTGAAATAAATGATGATTTCTTTCACTGCGAAGGTGGAGGATGCTCTTTTTCATGAAGAACGGATCAGTTGGTGGGGGTGGAATATGCATTATTTATGTTAAACCTGACTGCTGACCTGTACACTGTAATGACCCTAACCTGAATATATGCGATACATCATGGATGACACTCTACATAAATAAACAGCGAACCCTGCTATTAGGTTGCATCGTCCACCCATCCGCGACAGTGAAATGCTAAGTGAAATAACTACAGCCCTTCACTACATTTCGAAATTAAACTTTACTTATAAAGTGATTGGAGGTGATTTTAACATGCCTAAAGTAACATGGAAGCCCATCAGTGCTCCTGCCCGCTACAGTAAGATTTAGATGCAGTTGATTTACGTGGGTGGACACAAAGCATTCTAAGGCTCACCCGAAACCACAATATACGGGGCCTGGTTTTCTTGAAAGACATCGCCTTATTTGCCACAGACAACAGCCAACCATTTCCAGGTAGTGACCATAACACAATAATATGCGCCCTTGATACCAAGCTCCACTCATAAAAATGCCATATTCTGCGCAAAACATTCATGTGCTTCTGAAAAGCCACGTGGAACGTATCTAACGCCTTCGTTATGGGCTTAGACTGGGACCTTCACTTTTCTAATAGCAACCTAGACCCTATACTACTAGCCTTTTACCAGAATGTATCTATGTGCTTTGATAAGCTTGTTCCTAAATGCAAAGACGACACAAGAGAAAACATAAAAAATTTCAGTCCTACAAAGTAAAGGCTAGGCTGCGAAAGCTGCACCGACAGTACCACAGAGAAAACGATGTTACTGTAGTTGAAGATTGAACGATCAATTCAGGGTTGTTTGCTCAAACCCAACTCCATATTTTTCGCTGGAGTCATCAATACTGCAGTCATTGTTTCATCGTCCGCATTCGTTGGAAGAGAGAAAAACTTCCAGAAGTAATATTGTGATTTATTGTTATGACATTTATTCTTAGACATTGTGTACAAAAGACTAATGGTTGGCTCCGTATTTGTGCAAGAATAAACGGTTCTTGAGTCACCAATTTGTGTTCTGGATATTTGCGTTGATTATTGAGCATAGTTCCAAGGACAGTGTGAAGTTTAGCGTAGTTAGACCTGGACATTGACAATTTCTGATAGTTCTCCGGGAATTATTCGTCTCTCCTCCCGTCTGCCCGTCTTCTTTTGACGGGTGTTATCTGGAACTTTTTTGGATCTTTTGGGCCAGCTCAGTGATGCCTGAGTCAAAGAAGGGACAAAGCGTCTTGGAAGCAGACAGGAAAGTATGTGGTGCTCAGTTGCTCGTTACTTGTAATGATATGTATGATGCTCAGCATGATCAGTCTGTTGTTCACGGTTCGCCATTTAGGGATAGTAAGGGTTTAAAGTTACCTAAATTCGAGACCCTGTACTCTGATGGAAACCCAACCGACTGTCCACAGTTTATCAAGTAGTTTGAAGTCATGTTGAATATTTTTTATTAAATGATGAAATGAAGTTGATGTATTTGTTGAGGTACTGCACTGGAGTTGCTTCGAGAGCTATACAGTGCTGTAAGTTTATGAAGCCAGACGAAAGATACTCTGAAGCGATGCGTATCCTGCGTCAAAGGTTTGGAAGACCTCCGATTATTCTAAAGAGCGTATTCGAGGCTGTTAAATTGTAATGGTAGTCATTTACAAGATGACTCCAAGGCACTCACTGAGTTTTTAGGTAATCTGATGACTTACAAGAATACGTTGATTTCGATGAATTGCGAGAGAAATCTGAACTCAAGCTCTGTCCTAGAGGCAGGTAATAGCGAGACGTCTACCTACTCGACCACAAAGGAAGTGGTTGAAGATAAGCGCCCATATTGAGCCAAAGTTCGATGATATTCTGAAACTGATAAAAGAAAATGTCAACCAAGCTATGAGCAAGTTTGCCAGTATATTGCATCCCACCCCTAGAATAGAGCACTCTGAGAGCAAAACGCAATCATTTATGAAGAAAGGGTCTCGGCAAAGTGGATATCGAGAAAGCTTTATGGCGTCTAGTAATCCATATAAACTTAGTGAGTGTAATAGCTTTCGTTGGACGTCCCCAACAGATAGGTTATAAGTTGCGAGACAAACACGGTTGTGTTTTACACGTTTGCAAGGAGTGCATACAAAGGTGAACTGTGAACCAGTGAGCAAGTGTCAATGTAGTTGAAGATTGAACGATCAATTCATGGTTGTTTGCTCAAAACCAACTTCCCCAATTTTCGCGGAGGCATCAATACGACAGTCATCGTCTCATCGGTCGCTGTTCAGAAAGAAGTCAGTAGCAAATCGTCAGAAGTAATATTGTGATTTATTATTGTAATATTTGTTCACAGACCTTAGTGGAAACATTTTTTATATGTTGGTGTTACAATAAAGAATTCTCGAGTCGCCAATCGGTGTTTTGGCTTTTGCGTCCGTTATTACTAAGCGTTTCTGAGAAACTTCAAGGAACAGCGTGAGCCCGAGCGTAGCAAGAGCTGGGCATTGACGGTTTACGAGACGTGACTGACAGCAAGTTTAGTGGTAATCTAAATGTGAAATCAAGGTCTGACTCCGAACTGTGTGACAATAATGGCGTGGTGAAGAAGCCTGTAGTTGCAATTGGTAAGCCATTGTTGAATACAGTGTCGCAAACGACACCGCAGTTTGTGCAGGAGAAGGCAGTTGCAGTTTCAGAGTCCAGTTCTGACTCAACAAGTTTTCAATATGTTACTAGTCAGAGAAAAGGAATGAAACCTTTGAGCATTTGTGAGTAAGAACCCAAATCATCTCCTGCTGTTATTAAAGAGTTTGAAAATGATGGAGTCTATCATACAGACGGCGGTAAAGTGGATATTTGTGACAATGGTCATGATAGTGCACGTTTGTCTTGGCTGATCATGACGAGATGAGAGGAATATCTACTACTGCTGAGTTGAACTAAGGTTCTGTACAACTTGAACGTGGAGTGGAATTAAGGGCAGATGCGGTGGTAGAAGTTATGGATACTCATGAGACAATCAGTGTATATGATCAGCGTGCAGCCCACCTATCGACAGATACTAAGGCTGAACTGCAGATAATCATAAAAGATAGCAGTGGCGATAATCCTACGGTTAGACAACCTTCTAAAGGTCTAACAACAGCAGCTTCTGATGCACTGCCAAGCCCACCAACTTGTACCCCTCAGTCGTCGTTGGTGTTGTCATCCACAATGACAGAGACGTCCATGAACTCAAAAGTCTTGAGCTATGACTATGCTAGTATCAGTCCGTTTGAAAAGAATAAAGATATTGGTCAGTTTAATGAAGGATAAGCCAACTGTGCATGACAAGTTAACTGTTAAAATGACTTGCACGAATAAAGGCCTTTCAAGTTTCGAATTACTATTCGAATGCTATTATCGTTGGTGTAAATTACTCTGTGCCTTCGCTTGGCTGGTCAGATACGTCGTATGTTTGTTAGTTATCTACATTCCACGATACAATGACATAAGCGTGTTACCGTTTAGAGTTGGGGATAGAGACGATAGAAGGAGGTCAGCAAATTAACTCCGAGACGATTTTCCAGCCTAGGTTGTCAGCCTGAGAAGGGTTTTAGGCGTTCTGGTGCAAGTCCTACAATTCTTCAAGGGTAGTACGTCGAAGCGCAGTCCACCGTACTTGGTGTGTTATGTCGTACATATGTTCATCTTGTACATACTGAATTGGTAGCATCCGTCATCTATCCGTTGGTTAATTATATTGGTTCGGGACTACAGATCCCCGGACAATTTTATAGTTCCTTATACATTCTATTACGATTGGCAATGTTACTTTCCCTAGATTACTGCATTTATTATAGATTTTATTAACCGCTTTAAACTGCTCATTTTTCAGCCCAATAAATCGCCTTCTGTGTACTATCGCTGCTACGTAATACGCTGACGCATGTTATTTTCGAACACTTAAATGTATTTTTTTAATATTTTAGTGTTCTGGTGGGGGAATTATGTAGTACCCCTATACCAACTGTAAACATGCTTTTTAATCTAATTTGTATACTTGTATTATATGTGTACACAGACCGATTTTATATGTACTTCGCAAATATTTGTCAATTTACTGTTGAACATTACCTTGACACAATTTCGAATTTGACTACTGCTATAATACACATTCGTACTCTTCGCAAGTGCCTTTTGATTTACGTTGTGGGAGTCGAGTAGCCACAACGTCTACGCACATTAGTAAGGATGAAGAAATACTAGAATATATATGTACGGCAGTTTAGTCAGAAAGCGCACGCAACACATCCAAGTCAACGTGTATCGGTCGTGATGGAAAAAAGGGATGGATCCCTTTTTTGCCGGGGAGTGTCAATGCAGTTGAAGATTGAACGATCAATTCATGGTTGTTTGCTCAAAACCAACTTCCCCAATTTTCGCGGAGGCATCAATACGACAGTCATCGTCTCATCGGTCGCTGTTCAGAAAGAAGTCAGTAGCAAATCGTCAGAAGTAATATTGTGATTTATTATTGTAATATTTGTTCATAGACCTTAGTTGTGAAACTTAGTTTTAAAGCCTAAAGTTGGTTATATGTTGGTGTTACAATAAAGAATTCTCGAGTCACCAATCGGTGTTTTGGCTTTTGCGTCCGTTATTACTAAGCGTTTCTGAGAAACTTCAAGGAACAGCGTGAGCCCGAGCGCAGCAAGAGTTGGGCATTGACGGGTTCCGAGACGTGCTGACATATGTAGTATTAATAGGAATTCCTCATTCATAAGCAAGTAGCATTCACAACGTTATTAATGTTCTGCGTTAGATAAGCGTATAATATTTGATAATTGATAATATATATTTCTTCCTGTTTGTGCAGGAACGTACCAATTGTACAGGTATGGATAAGTTATTATACAAATTACACATAACTTCATGTATGATGAATTTACAGTTTGGTTGTTCTTTCTGACATTAGAGCTAGTCGGAACAGTCTGCTATAAAGTCTGTTTGTGTAGCACATAAAGAGATATAGAAATATTGTCTTCGCATTAACAAAAAACCCAGACATCGGGTGAATGTAATACAGATATCTGGGAAAAATAAAGCTTGAAATCAATTCTCTTATATAACTTTGTTGTGAACAGCACCCTTGGCTTAAAGTTTATTGATGTATTATGTTGAGATCAGTGATATATTTATTCCATTTTTTTCAGCAGTGTTATCGTAGTTTTATAACAGGAAAGAAATTTGCTCGTAGATGCGAAAGCTAGATAAGTTTATGTTGGATTATTTTACTGCATCAAATGGGGGCCGAGGTCGATTCCAGAATTTTCCATTGGCGCCATTTGTGTCTGCATGACAGACTGTACACGTAAGTTGAGTAAGACATTGAAAACTGTTTGAAAATCAGTTGCTTCTTTATTTCAGATCATGAATACTCATTGTACAGCATGTTCGCCAGCATCTTTAAATGGTAGCATGGGATCGTTCATGGAATTTGAGTGGTTATCAGATAAATGGTTTGGAATTAATCTTCATTTCAGTCTAGATGCAGGGTTGTTCGACCTCGACCAGAAGATGAATAGGAGCAGCAGAATACCAGAAAGAGAAAGTATGTGAACATGAAAAGGACATTAATATTTTATGCACTTATAAATGTTTATGTCGACTGTATATTATACTTTAGTAAACAGTTTTCTATATTGTAGTTTTGTTTTCACGTATTAATGCGAAGTCTTATTTAGTGTCATAATGTGTACTAGTGAGTCTGAGCGTTTTAGTGTTCTAATGACTGATGCGTTTTAGAAATAAGTGATGGGTTCTGGCAGGGATAGTCCTTGGGATAACAGTTTATATAGCAAGCGTTTGAAGGTTACAATAGAGTGACGCATCCTATTTCTAAGAGTTGGATGCGGGCCAGGTTCACGAAAACTCCTTCCAAAGTGGGAAGGACCGTACACAATCACAAAAAGACGGGGTCAAGTATATACCATCCGAAGAGGTGATAAACAGAAACGAGTTAACGCCAGTCAGCTCCAAAGATGGGTACAGTGGGACAAGCCGGTCAGTAACAATCCTCAACTGGAGGATGTAGCACTCAGAAGGTCGGAACGTCTGCGCACGAAGCTATTTGACGGGGGACGGGTGTGAGAGCAGGCTGCTAGCCGATTGGTTGACACTAATCTACGTTAATGTCTAGGTCGCTAATATGGGCCGTGAGAAAACATGAACAAGGCTGTTTCAACAACCAATCACAGCAAACTTAAACGTGGACAAATATGATTCGCAGATAGATGGCTCTACTTTCCGAGAAATATCGAAAACAACCAATCATAAGACTGTGTTTGTCTGCTTAACTTCCGAGAAACAACCAATCAGAAGACTGCCTTTTTCTGCTTGCATAAGCCTTATTAATGTACATAAAATGTATATAAATACATGTTGACTTTCGTAATAAAACGATCTGTTGCCAGCCTTTGTCTTCTGTTGTTACACTGTTGTGTAAAACGGCTGCAGCGTCTAAAGTACTCCTACCCTGTCTGTAGGCAAATTGTTTGGGGTCTTCGAAGCTTTTAAGGTAGGGTTTGAGTTGAAGAAGTACTAGCTTCAGAAACGGGGAAGTGATGGCAGTGGGTCTGAACTTTACGTTCTTGCTATTGCCAGGTTTAGGGACAGGGACTATTTTATTATCTTTCCATGGAACAGGTACAACATTTTTGGAGAAAGTAGCATTTAGGACGTTAGTTAGAGGAGAACATAAAGCATCAGCGCATTGGTTTAGAACATATGCAGGTATGCCATCAGGGCCAAGACTATATGAGGGCTTAAGAGTTTTAAGACATTTCAAAACATCGAGAGTGTTAATGTCCGGGAGGTTATCAGCTACATGATTAGTAACGTTAGAAGTGGTTACAGTAGAAGGGGAGGGTATAAAAGACTGATTAAGAGCATTAACATCATAAGAAGGAAAAACATTACGTCGCTTACTGTTGCCAGTAATTTCAGTGAAAAGTTTCCACATGCTGATAAGAGATTGGCATGATATAAGTGTTTGGTTACAGATAGCATTAAGGCTTTTGATTTCAGATTCGATTTGAGCATTAATCTTTTTAAGTCCTAACTTATCTTTGAGTTTATATAATGTTTCTTTTTGCCTGCGAAGTTGTTTGAGATGAGGAGACGAGAAGCGGTCGAGGCGTTTGAACAGTGTTTGTTTGGAACAGCATATGTCGAGGCAGAACTTCAGGTAATCCGTTTTATTGGTGATTGAGTCATCTAATGTACTTTCATAGAATGAATCCCAGTCAGTATTTTTTAACATGCATCTTAGATTGAGTAAGTTGTCAGATGTGTAGCATCTTTGTTGTGCTTTCATAGACAGGTGTGAGAAGACTTTAATATGTGTTTTGTTGTATATTTTTGGTAAAAGACGGACAATACAGTGATCCGAGTTAAGTATCGGTGAACGTCTACTTGTTTCATATGCCTTTTCATCATTAGTAAAAACTAGATCGAGTGTTTTGTCAAGTCGAGTGGGAAATTTGACTATGTGCGACCAAGTGCTTCAAGAAAGGAGGAGTCTGAGGAGTTGAAATCCCCAGTAATAACGGATAGAGAGTTGTCGAAGTTGGCAGCAGCAAACGTGGTGAATTCCTTAGTAAAGTTAGATAGATCAGATGGTGAGCAACTAGGAGAAATGTACATGTTTGTAACGAAGATGTGTTAATATTTGGGACCACATTTGACGGTAATACAGTCAGTGAAGTCGTTTGAGAAGGAGTGTCAGCCACGTCTCGTAAACCGTCAATACCCAACTCTTGCTGCGCTCGGGCTCACGCTGTTCCTTGAAGTTTCTCAGAAACGCTTAGTAATAACGGACGCAAAAGCCAAAACACCGATTGGCGACTCGAGAATTCTTTATTGTAACACCAACATATAACCAACTTTAGGCTTTAAAACTAAGTTTCACAACTAAGGTCTATGAACAAATATTACAATAATAAATCACAATATTACTTCTGACGATTTGCTACTGACTTCTTTCTGAACAGCGACCGATGAGACGATGACTGTCGTATTGATGCCTCCGCGAAAATTGGGGAAGTTGGTTTTGAGCAAACAACCATGAATTGATCGTTCAATCTTCAATTGCATTGACAAGGAGAAGCAGACATTATTAGGAACAGACCATTTGGAGTTCCATTTTTGACTTCCTCTGTCAAGGGAAACTTACCAATCCTTATCAACATGGTTTCATGGAGCGATGTTCTTGCACAGCGTGCCACTTACAATTTTTCGATCATATCTCACAACTTAAAGATTGAAGAATGATC